TTGGGGTTATCTGCTAAAAACTACGGTAGAGCTGTTTATGAATGTCTTCGCGGTGGACTTGATTTTACCAAAGATGATGAGAACGTGAACTCACAACCATTTATGCGTTGGAGAGATCGTTTCTTATTTTGTGCCGAAGCAATTTATAAAGCACAGGCTGAAACAGGTGAAATCAAAGGGCATTACTTGAATGCTACATGATTAATATTTATTATTCTTGAATTATAATTATTTTACGATTTTTTATTTTATAACACAAATACCTCTTTTGAATATTTAAGTTATTTTTCATGAGTTTTGTTCTCATTAGTATCGGTGCACGCGCAATGCGCGTACACTAAGACTAGTTAGATCAAAAAATTAAAAGCGAATTGGAACTACTAGTAATTACTGACATAAAAGCATAAAAGAATTGTTGACAACGCATTAGGTGCTGGAAGCAAGTGTTCTAAACTAAGATAATTGCTGCAATTTGCTAGCAAATTTATCATCATTATTAATTTGGGATAGGCACAGACAATTCATACAGTATAGTACATGATTTCTCCTATGCATCCCAAGTCAAAATATTTCATAAAGGCACAACTTATGACCAGATCTCAATAATGGGAGATGTCACTATAGGACTCCTAACGGAATGGTTTCCATTCTCTTCAACCCAAGTGATGGACCCAACGTTTCTACTCTGACCCTCATCACCTAAATAACGAATTGTCAAAGTATAACTTTGTTTCTCATTTTTCTTCTTGAATACCAAAGTTTGTGGTGATACTGAAACTGTACTGTTCTTTGGAGCTTTTAGCTTAGCATTATAAGTAGCTGCACCTTGACCAACATTTGTAACTGTCCTCCTGAATTTCTGTTCCAACAATGTGAAGGGTCCCTCGAGGGGGTACAATGCAATGAACGACGGGTAATTGAGATCGGCTGATGGATTTGAGCAGTTGTGGTTGTCTGATGATCTTGCAATTGTCTTGAATTGCTCTTCTGTGAAATTCAGAGAGCATAGAAGATTTACGTAATCTTGTGTAGTAGCATCGTATACTAGGCCAGGATCAAGCGCTCTGTTGGGATCAACGTGTCCTGCTCCCATGTCTAGGGGCGTGGCGGCCTTGTTAATGTCCGAGTCTTTAATAGGTTTTCGAGTGTTGTCCAAAGGATCTGCTGTGGTCATCATGGCAGAGCGAATAGCTGAAGGACTCCATTCAGGATGCGCGCCTTTTAGCATTGCTGCAATTCCAGCAGCATGTGGTGCAGCCATAGATGTGCCTGATTCAAGAATGTAATCAGTGGACAATTCTATGTTCGCCCCAATACTCGTGGCAAATACGTTTGGTGGATATGCTGCAAGAATTAGTACCCCTGGTGCCAATATATCTGGCTTTGCAATTCCCAAGTAGCTTCTGGAGGGGCCTCGTGCTGAGGATGCAGCAACAACTGGTGCTGGCTTTGCATCCAGATACGTCTCTTGGAACGTGATGCTGGCGGTGGGATCGACAGTATTTTTTACATAATTGATGACTTGTTTGCCTTCCTTCTTGTTAATTACAACTCCAGGGTTGGGAAATGTAGCAGACCTGAATACTCCTGGATCCTCAGAAATAAAGATGCCTGCTTTAAGTCTTGCTCGAGTGACAATACGCATTTGATCAGAGAAATCCCCATTATCTTCACATATAATGATGGTACGTTCCGGATCAGATAGTTGCGATAATAATTCTTCTGAATTGCAATCAGCTAGAGTCTTGTTGTAAATCACTGTTGAATCCTTAACAATGGCTCTTGCAGGAAACAAGCTCCAACCCCTGAATTTTAAGCCATTTCCTAAAGTCAAAGTGCCTGCAAATGTCCGATCAGTGTGGCCTGATGCCACACACAAGATCCATGGAGATCCGTTGTTTAAACTTCCAATCCCCGGACCTCGATTTCCAGCTGAAGCTGAAACTAGCACTCCCTTCATCATAGCTCCAAAAGAAGCAATGGATATAGAATCCTCATACAAAGGAATGAAACGGAACCCAAAAGAAATAGATATCATATCAACACCGTCCGCCACAGCTTGGTCCATAGCAGCAATTAAATCTGAAGTAAAGGTTCCTTCATTAAAGCTAAACTTGTACACAGCTAGCCTAGCTCGTGGTGCCACTCCTCTTGCTGTTCCTGGTGCATATCCAAAATGGGAAACACCTTTGGCGAAATTTCCAGCAGCAATGGAAGCAACGTGTGTGCCATGACCATCAGTATCCCTTGCAGAATTCATGGAAATGTTCACAGTGGGATCATTAGCCAAAATTCCCTTATTGAAGTAATTAGCCCCAATAAGTTTTCTGTTGCACAATGAAGTGTTAAACTGTGTGCCGGGCTTGCAAATTCCTTTCCACCTTTTGGGGACTTCAGGCATACCATCATCTCGAAAACTCGCAGATTCAGGCCAGATGCCAGAGTCAAGAACACCAATGATCACATCTTGGCCTAATCCAGAAGCTGGCCATAGACCAGA